TTCGCACAACATCCAAATCACATAATGTCCTATTTCATGGAATGTACTGTGGACACTAAGTGATGCACAGCTGCATACCTTTAGTGTGATACCAGGAACAAAAAACAAAAACAAAAATAAGCCACTTGTATTCTATTCAAATGATCTTGAATATACTTGCAGTAACTGGGTCATTAGAGAAGGGTGACAGTCTCTTTGAGTTCACTTTCTCTAGGAAATGTCCAAAGACAGGATCAGCATCCAGCTTCTATCTGCGTCCTCAGTATGATAAGTTCCTTCTAGGAAAGACCTTCAAGCTTTTCCTATCTTTTGTGGCCAGCTGAGTGTCGTGCATATGGCAAGAGTACCTTAACTGTTTGTTGAAAAAGTGACGTGAATGAATGAGTACTGGAGTCTAGAAAAAGAAGGTCAGAGACGTGGGTATGTCACTGCGTCAGCAGCTGGTGTGGCGGGAAACTCTGAATGGATGCTGATGATGGTTATGAAATCAGGCCCCCAGATGAGAATGGCGATTTGTCCAGCTATCTCCCAAAAGGGTGTAGTGGATAAAGCAGTTGACTGCTAACTGGAAGATCAGCGGTTCAAACCCACCAGCTGCTCCATGGAAGGAAAACAGGGTGATCTACTTCCTTAAAGATTTAGAGCCTTGGAAATCCAAAGGGGGTTGCTACAAGTCGGAAATGACTTGATGGCAGTGAGTTTGGTTTCTGATTTTTGGTATCTCCCGACATATCCAATACAGAATTATAACTACGTAAGAAATAAATTATACACAAACATATTCATACACAAGAAAAAAAGACTAAAAACAGGCTAAAGGGATAATCTAGAAAATGGACTTATAAGTGAGTACTTTTTTATTCTGTATTTTATAATTATTCCACAAAATATCTTCTAAGTCTTTTGTTTTAATTCTAATCCTGTGCTCAGTAAATTCCTTCCTGATCTCTAATATAGACACTGGAATAGATTTACCCAATAGGAGGATGTGGCATGCACAAATGAATAAGGCTAATAACCCTGGGCCATTTACCTCCCATGGTGAAATAACAAATTGTAGACAAGGTGTACAAATAGCCCTCCTATGTGTTGACCACCAGCATAGTGCTGGGCTTTGCAGTAACCACTCCAAGTGGCTCCTGTGAGGCCCGGTTACCGGCAAGCTGGATTTGCCTGTTCATTATTAACATCCCCCCGCCCCTTCTAAAGGGTTTCTCCATTCCTTCGAAGAAGAGATGGCATGTGGAGGAGAGGAGGAAGAATAAACAGGAATGCTGGGACAAAGCAGACTGAGTCCCTGAGGCAGAACTGTGCACCCATCTGGGACACGTCAATAATCTAACTTTATGGATTGCACCTGTGGAAGAGGGATGGCGGTACCTGTCACCATAAGATAATACATAGCAGTAATTAGGCCTTTCTGGAAAACTGAGTAACACTGTTATTAATATTTTTATTATCTGTTTCATACAAATTAAATCACCTCCAGCTGCTATAATTGGGGAGCAATGAGGATAGTGGCAGTAGAAGTAATAATAATGTATTAAACCCTCAACAGATCTCGTCTCTGAGAAAAGTGCAGGAGCTGCCCTCACTGCTGGGGTCTGCAAACCTGAACCCTGAGATTCTGCTCTGGTCCACAGGAGGCAGACCCCTGTACCTCAAAGTCTAAGGTGGATGGAAGCAGCAGCCACAGCCTGTCCTGCCTTTTGTCCCTCAAATACCACCTACCCTGGGAGGTCAGTTCCCAACAGAATGTGGTTTATTTCCTCTCCTCTTCTATTTGCATTCAAATAAAGATCACTACCCAAGTAAGCTAGATTCTTTCAGTGTGGAATATACCCAAACGGCCTTTATTTCTGTTTAGAAAATGATAATAAACAGAGATGGATGAGCTATTTCTCTTCTGCTTTTTAAGCAAGGCATAACAAATACTGTTTTGCATTGTTTTAAAATCAAAGAAAAGATACCATATCTTTAACTACAGACCACTCTAGGCATTTCATAGTGAATAAAGCCTGGCAACTTAGGCTGAGGAAGTCATAAATAATTAATGTGTTAAGTATTGCCCTTTTAAGTCTCTTTTCCAGCTCTCAGTCCAAGCCAGACTATCCTTGGAGAGACATTTTCAATTTTGGGCCATGAAGGTGGATGGGTGCTGATGTCAGGGTTTTATCTGCACACAACCACCCCTCCCTTCCTTGCTGTTTCAATGGCTTTTTGAATGGCTCTACAGTAGGTTCAATAACCATTCTGGAAATGTGCAGAGTACCGCATCAGCTACATCTCCAACCGCTCCCAAAGCTCCCTTACTGATTATGGTAATGCAGCGGCAGCACTGGCAGCAGAACATCACCACTGAGCCACTGGGACCCTGAATCATGACAGTCGCACGTGTGAGCTCTTTGCGGGCATTTTCTGGAGCTGCCTGCAACCACCTGCTCTGTTAGGTGTCACCTTAGGCACACAAAGCATTTTTTTTTTACACTGCACTGTTACTAACTTCCTAATAGTGCCTAAGGCACTTGACTACTAACCAGAAGACTGGCGGTTCAAATCCACCACCACTCCTCAGAAGGAAGGTTGGGCAATCTACTGCCATAGTGATACTGCCTCGGAAACCCAAGGAGGGGTCACTATGAGTCGGGTCCAACTTGACGGCACATGACTACAACAACAACAAGAGAGAGACAGAAAAGATTTGCATTTCTTTGAATTTGTTATTGCACTATTCTGTGTGAGCTAATCTTCTCTCCTGCCTTAGTCCTTAGTTTTCCTTTTGAGGGTGCAAAGCTCCCAAAGAGAGCACCAAATAAAATCAAACTCACTGCCATCGAGTCGATTCGACTCCTAGTGATCCCTTCTTGGGTTTCCGAGGTGGTATCTCTATGGAAGTAGATTGCCTGATCTTCCTTCCAAGGGGAGTGGCTGATGAGTTTGAACCACCACTCTTCTAGTTTATTTCCTCTCTGCCCCACAATGCTGTATTTAAGTGCAGTCCTGGATTTACAGCAGCCACTTAAAATATCCTGAATTTTTTTTTTTTTTTTTAATGAAAGTCACCACAGAAAATTTCTCTCTAGGGCCCTCATCCCCACACATGACTCATCTGTGCACTTTCATTTGCTAGCACACTGGCTTCTATTAAAAGAAACCGGCAATGAAAGATTCTTTAGATTCCTGCAAAATACCCATAACCAACAGAGTTCTAATTTCATTTGAAATACTACAAAAAGGGACAAATGTCAAAGACATCTAAAGGTCACCTATTCTGTCTCTGATCATTCTATTTTCATTATTTATTATTTTTTTCCTGCTCACTTTAAAAGACAGCTTTGTGAAGATTTTTATGCGCTGTTCCAATCTTAACACAATCTCTCCTTTGGGACAGGGTGTTAACTTCCACTCTCTGCAGTGGGGGGAGTGTGTATGTTACATTTTACAAAGACCGGCGACTCCAATATAAGGGATGCTTTCCACGTGAGACAGGGCCACATAAGCCTGATGATTAAATGGGAGGAAATTCTTCCTTGGGGAAAAAGGAAGAGCCAGGCTCATTTTCAAAGATGTTTTATTTATAACCAAGAAGTGGCTTAGGCTCTGGGAGAACTTGCATCCAAGGAGGACGTACAACCTGGGGTTCTGGGCTTTGCTGAGGTTCTGATGTAAAAAGTAGAAGCAGCATTCCAGTCGCCCACTGGGAGTCCTATCTCTTCTCAGGGAACTTACTACAAAACGGGTTTTGACATTTTCCTTGTTATGTTATGTCTACACACCTGGCTTCTCTGCACTTGCACAAAACCCAGTATATCTCTATTTCCCCTTCTCTGTCCTCCATAACAGGATGGCAGGTTCTAGTAGAAAGAATTTTGACTTTTTTCTTCCAATTCCCTTGCAACAAGGTTTTTACTGAAGTATATATATATATGTGGTGTAGTAAATTACTTAGTGTGGCTTTTCTACCCATAAGTCTTTGTAAACTCCAAGGTGGGATTTTCTATGAGCCACTGAGGAGCTCCTGATTGCTGAAGGTGTCCACCTGGAGTATTTCTGTTGGGAGTGGCACAAAACAATGTTCTGGGAGGTGCCCACTCTCTCTCAGGTGCTTAGAGTTCTGATGCTATGATTGGCTAGTTTGACCACCCTGCCGGGCTCAAAAGGAGGCCTCCTAGAGGCAGAACTCTCTCTGATTGCTGGTTGAGGAACACGTGCTGCTGAAAGAGACACGGGCTCCTGAGACACGCGTTGCTGGGAAAGAGATGCAAGAGACACGCATTGCTAAGTGAGACACCGAGGGACCAGCACTGCTGGGAAAGAGACTGTGAGAGACTGTTGGCTGAGGGACGGTGGGCTGGGAGAGAGACTGAGCATTTTTTTCCGGAACTTGAATTGTAGCCTGTGGTGCTTCCCTAATAAATCCCATAATCTGTAAACTCTGTGTGGCCACTGCAGCGAATTATCGAACCCAGGAGAGAGGTGGTGGGTGCTTTGGGAGGAACAGTTGGAGAAAGGGCTGAGAGAGGCAGCATGTCTGGCCTGGCAGGAATAGGCCTTGGGTTACTGCTGGTAATCCTGTAATCCTGTCTTCCTCTTGTTGGATTAGAGGAGGTCAGAACATGTGGCCTCCTTGCCGTTTTAGCTATATATATATATATATATGTATGTATATACACTTCGTGGAAGTCTATCAAGATAGTTCACAGGTCTCTGGGAGGTTCAAATAGTTTGTGCACAGCTGCTAATCTAAAGGTTAGTGGTCTGAAACCACACAGTGGTTCCACAGAAGAAAGGCCTGATGCTTTGCTTCCATTAAGACTACACCGAAGGAAACCCTAGGGAGCAGTTACACTCTGTAATACACGGAGTTGCCATGAGTCAGAAGTGACTGATGGCAGCAAGTTTTAATAAGATCTTCCACCTAATGTCAGTTTCCCCATTGTGTTACCCCTTCCCAAACCATCACAAAAAGCCAACCCATGGCACAGGCTTGGCACTCTTACCGGCTGCTCTGTGTGGTGACTTTTTCTCCACCATCTTACTCTCCTTCTTAGAGTCCTGGGGTGTTATGATTTTCTCCAGCTCTCCTGGGCTCACCTGAGAGGGTGTGGGAGGATGTGGGAGGGTTAGGGTCTGCAGAAGAGGCTTTCTGGGCAGGGGCGGTTTGGAGTTAAGCTGCTCCGATGACCGGGCCTTTACTTTCCCTTGGTCGTTCAGGGATCGGGCCCCTCGAGCACTGGCGGCCATCCCAATTTGACATTTTTCCTCTTTGGGGAGCAAAGTCAGTGCTCCTTTTTCTAACCTGACCTCAGCACTGTGTCTTTTTACTCCTTTTAGTTCTGAAGAACCATCTCTGTATTTGAAAGAGAGAGAGGTGGACCGGAGCTTAATGGGAAAGGGATTTCTGTCCTCACAGGTGGGAAGCTCCTGAGTGGCTGGGCAGGGGTCTCTCGTGGCTGGCAGGGTGGCTGCATCTTGAGCGCTTACAGCCTGATTGGCAACTCGGTCCCCAGAGTCCTGAGATTCACAGTCTACTGGGGTCTTTGGCTTTTGAGGGTCCAGTTGCATGTTCTGTGGCTCAGGAAGCACCTGGAAGTCATCGAGTGCTGCCTCACTCCTCCAGGCCAGGCTACTCTTCAGAAGGGGCAGCTGGACATTAGAGGGACCCCCAGGGCCAGGCTGTTCCAGCAGGCGGACGCTGCTTGTGCGTGGTCGGGCCCTGCATGAGGACACAGAGAACTTCTTCACACTCGCCAGCTCACTGCCTCCTCTCTCTATTTTCCACTCCGGAGTTGCCTTTACAGTTCCCTCTTGTGTTGATTCTGCATGGGCAGCATTGGAGAGCTCAGAGGGAGAAGGCTCTTTGTCCAGGGAACAGGGAGTGAGCTCCCCCAGAGGTGACTCAGAGGCAGAAGGTGTCAGGGATATGCTGTGGCTCATGCTCATTGACAAAGCCTTGTGCTTCAAGCAACTCTTGGGGCGCTGTGGGCTTGGGACAGGAACTGCAGAAGATTCTTTCCCTACTCCCTCAGGATTGGGCACATCCAGGGTTAGTTCCACTTCTTTCTGGACACTCTGATCTGGTCCATCTGGATTGGACGATGTCTCCAAGGTGGTGGCGGTGACAGTCTCAGGAGGTACCGTGTCCTCCTCAGGGATGCAGACAGATAAATGACTTTCGTTGTCACCAGAAGCACAAATCACCTTATCAACTGTGACCACAACCGGAGAACATATGCCTGTGATGGAAAGCTCCTCCCTCTGGCTTTCACTGTCAGGAGCAGGGTGTGGAGAGCCTTCTGGTGGAGACAGGGACTCCAAGCAGAGGGCTGGGCCTGACTCAGGCTCAGTGACCTCTGGGGTGGTTGGGCAGCTTGAGGGGTCATCCCCAGGTGAGGTGCCCTCTTCCATGCTGGCACTGAGTGCAGGGCTGTGCTGCAGGCGTGCCCGTCTTGCATGGGGCCCCCAGGGTTGCAGCATGGTGGCTGACTCCCCTGGCTCAGGGCCCCTGTCTGGACCCAAATCCTGCTGCCCAGAACTGGTGTTCTCTTCTGTGCTAACTTTGGGCAATGGTTTCTCATCATATTCTTCCTCCTCTGGGGTGCATGTCAGATCGCTCAGGGATTCTGACTGTGCTCGCTACAAGAAATAAAAAGGACAAAAGAACCATCAACATTACATTGGATTTTAGGAAGCCCATGGCTTCCTCATTTTCTTCAAGGTATATTATGGATTAAAGAAGGTGGCATCTCTGTGAAGCTGACACTTAAGTAGATATTCACATACAGGTATCTTTTCTTAATCTTTCCCTTACTAGTCTGTTTGAAACCTTGGATCCCAAATTTCATTTTCAGCAGAATAGTGGCAGTTATGTCCTTAAAGCAAATGTTGTCTATGGCTACTGGGGAGTATCTGGGTGGTGTAAATGGTTAAATACTCAACTATACTAACCAAAAGGTTGGCAGTTCAAGTTCACCCAGTGGCATTGCTGAAAAAAAGGCCTAGTGATCTGCTTCTGAAAGATCACAGCCTTGAAAACTTACGCAGCATGTTCTACTATGCACATATGAGGCTGTCATGAGTCAGAGTCAACTTGACAGCAAGTGTTTATTTTTTTTATGACTTCTAGGGCCATGCCAAGAAACCAGTAGGTGCTGCTCTGTAGAGTGAAGCAAAGGCAAAAACACCAGCATCGGCCAAGTGTCTATTACACTTTGTGCTCTATACTTGTTATTTCACTTAATCCTCGATTCATTCAATGAGAAAGGGATTAGAGTATCATCTTTTTACACCTGGAGAAACAGGAGAGCACAGCGGTCAATACTGAGGTCAAGGCTGAGCTAATAGGTGGTACAGCTGAAAGGCTGGTGTGTTTTCTACAATCCTGTGCAATGCTCTCTCTGCAGCTTCCATCTTCCCCAGGAAGCATCTTTCAAAGCAAACCCAGACTGATTTTCCTAAAAGATGATTCATATTATGTCACACTTGTACGCAAACACAGCCAAGAGCAAACCAAAATGTTCAACAAAATTTAAAGTCCTCTACTTTCTGGACTTATCCTGTTTCTCCCCTACTCAAGTCAAACTAAGAGCCCCCCACAGTGCATGCCAGTCTCTGGGCCTGAACAACATGTCCCCTCCCTCCTCCATATTTCTGGATGCTTTGTCGGCATCCCTCAAAGTCTGTGTCATGTTCTACCTCCTACAGGAAGCCTTGCCTGTTCACTGTGGCTTATGACTCTCCCTTTTCTGGCCTTTTGAGGCCCTTAAGGGCACCACAATTGTATACTGCTCTGTAGTCTTCTTGTCTGAAAGACCTCTGGAATTCAGATTCGAATCCAACTTCCTCATTTTACACGAGCAAAAGGTCACAAAGTCAGTACTTCTCTTCCAGGAAGGAAAGGAGCTCAAGGGAACCACAAGTCATGCAAAAAGCAATCAGAATGACCAAAAGGTAGAGGATGTTGAGGTTGATCTTTCGAAAAAAGCTCATGACATTAGACCTCGAGAATCACCTGGGATGTTGTTGCATTAGGTCAGTTCTCACCTTCCCTTTTAATGGTAGAAAATGTGACTCTCAGGAAGAGTGTTTGTACAAGGTTTTGTTTGCATGTTTTGTTGTTGTTATTCTACTATTTCCAGCTGGCATCTGCTTGCTTACAGAATAGAGGATGACTGGGATGTTAGTGACAATACCTATGGTAACTCTTGCCAAAATGCACAGTCCTATTCTTTTGGATTTTAAAAAAGGAAGATGTGTAAAGAAGTTTAGAAAAGAAATTGCAAAAGCTGCAGGTTCTTAGCTGCAGCAGTGACCTTTTGCTACTACAGGACATTGTTGGTGTTGAAACCTCTTTAGCATTCGGGTCATGTTTTACAACTATCAACCCACGTGGAGCAGGAAGCTGAGGAGTAGGCCCGGCTTGGCACATAATAACTTGAGCCACTGGAACTATGAGGAAGTAACATGCTGGGGGCCTAGCAAGACCATGAAGTGACCTTTCTGAAGGGGGGCACAGAAGCTGACTGGAGTCCTTGAGGGGAATAAAGCCACTTCTGACTCAGCCCAGGCTCTGCGGCTTATAGCAGGAAAGTGCTCCGGGTACCCACACCATCTGGGTGTGTTATGCCCAGTCCCTATATCTCCCCTACTATCTCCTCTGGGCCCTCACAGTAGCTTCACACTCTGGAACCCTCCTGAGGAAGCAGAAGTAAGGAGAGCGATTGCTTAGCATGCACCAAGAATGAGTTGCTCTCTTGGCTGTGTGCTCATATACCTCATCTTGCCAGAAAGTGAGCTCCATGTTATCTGTGGGTAGAAGGCAGTGTTGATACGTGTTGGGCTGGGAGAGGGTGTCAGTCTCTGTCTGTGACCTAGGTCTTGCAGTCAGAGGCTCTACCATCTTATCTTGGTATTCCTAATAAAATGGAGTTAATAATATTATTGCTCCTGTCACTGCCTGGGATGGAATGAAGAACAAGTGGTATGGTGTTTAGAATGTGGGCTGTATAACACTGTGTGCCATATGAGATAGCGGTGTAAACATTTATAGGGCTATTCCACTTCTTTTGTGCATGGAACCACACACAAAGCCCAATCCTGTGTAGCAGGGTAAAATTCTGAGATAAAAACCAGGATTTCTCTTTCCCAACCTCTTCTTGGAGGTAGAGGAAAACAGATTTAGTCAAATGCATTCTTGAGTATGTTTTGCAAACTTGTAAGAAATACCTAAAGCATTTGACTGCTAACCAGAGGCTGGTGGTTCAAACCCACCAGCCACTCCTCAGAAGGAAGATTAGGCAATCTACTTCTAAAGTGACACCGCCTTGGAAACCCAAGGAGGGACTGCTATGAGTAGGATCTGACTCGCTGACAGTGAGTGTTTCCCCCCCACCCACCATCATGCAAAATAGAGGAGCTCTGGTGGTGTAGTGCCTAAGGCATTTGACTGCTAACCAGAAGGCTGGCAGTTCAAACCCACTAGCCACTTCTTGGAAGGAAGATTGGGCAATCTACTTCCGTAGAGATACTACCTCAGAAACCCAAGGAGGGGTTGCTATGAGTTGGATTAGACTCAATGGCAGTGAGTTTGGTTTTTTTTAATGCAAGATTGGCTTTTTAAGGTAAGAAGAGCTCTTTTTCCTCCCTAGAGCTCTGAAAGATCCAGAGCATAGCGAATATAGAGTTTACAACTCTGAGGACAGAGCTGGAGAAAGCCTGACCGTGTAAGGATAGATTTTCTGCCCAGATGGAGATAAGAATTTGGGCAAAAGCAGGAAAGACACTAATGTGAAGACTCTGTGCCTGAGCCTCTTGGGGAGGGAGTGGTGATGAAGAAGAAACCTCGGATATTATAAGGATCAGTAAAACAAGAGAAATTTGGACCTCATGTTTCAATGAAACCCAGAAGGGCAGTGAGCTTCTCTGGGAAGTTCTCAGGAGCAGGAGGAAAACAGAGAGGGCAGTGAAGCAGCTCCTCACCATTGGAGCAAGAGGGGAACATGTGAAAGCAACCTATGTCCTGAGAGGGGTCAGGCAAGGGGCTCAGAGTTGGGAGGTAGGGACCTCATGGCTAAAGGAGAAAAGGGGCCATGGATGCTTTGAGACAGAGGCCACTAAACTCAGACCCAAAACTGAATGTGCTGGAGGTGGCATAAGCACTTGTGACCAATGGTCAGATGCCTCTGCCCAATCAGGAAAATACAGACACATCTGAGAACTTAAGATATTCATTCACTGGTGGTTCACATACATACGTTCCATCCCCAGCCAATGCACCTCACCTATAGCCACCAACGGTCAGTGGAGATTGACATGTTACTATGATGCTAAATAGGTTTTAGCAGAGCTTTCAGTTTAAAATGGACTAAAGAAAAAGGCCTAGTGAGCTACTTCCAAAAATCAGACAAGGAAAACTCTTTGGATCACAACTGTATGGATCACTCTATGACCTGCAACTGATCTTGAGGATGCTGCAGGACCAGGAACCGTTTTGTTCCATTATGCATGGGTGACCAGGAGTCATGGGTTGACTCAATGGCAGCCAAAAACAGCAACAAAAACATCCCTACTATGAAGGGAAGGAGAAGGAGTGGAAAGATATGAAATTGATAGGGTTTAAATCAAGGAACAACTGTGTTTACCCAGACTGATTAAAGTAGATATTCTGTTTTTCTAGAAAACTACAAGCACTAAGTCACATTCAAAAGTAAAGGAAAAGATGCATAGCTTGACAGACAAACAATGTCACTAAGATGTACACAAGAAAAAAAGACCTTCTGGTAATTTCTATGTCATATATAATTTTGCAATAACCAAAAAATATATGTGTGGGTGGACATGTACATATATAGACACTTATGTGTATAGGTATGTATATGTGAGTATATATATGTGTGTGTGTGTGTGTATATAGGTGTTTGCATACATATATATGTGTATGTGTATGTACATATATTCATATATATATATATAATAAAGCAAACAGGGGACACAGTTATGGATACTTCTTATATATAACCAAACACATCATGGGATTGGTTTTCTGGGTTTGAAGAGTTAGGACCATAGTTTACTGGGAAAATTCAGTCAATTGGCATAATATAGTTCACAAAATTTATGTTCTACATCCTAGTTTGGTGAGTAGCATCTGGGGTCTCAGAACTTTGTGAGTGGCCATCTAATATTCATCTCTACTCATCCATAGCAAAAGAGAAAGGAAGAAACCAAAGACTCAAAAGAAACTAGTCTACAGAACTAATAGTCTACCTGAATCACAGCCTCATCCACCCTGATATCAGAAGAACTAGTTGGTACCACTACTGACTGTTCTGATCAGGGCCACAATAGATGGACCTTGACAGAATGGGAGGAAAATGTGGAAGAGAACCTCATATACTTAAAAAAAAATCCAGACTTACTGGACCAATAAAGACTGGAGCACATCCCAAGACTATTGCTCTGAGACACTCTTTAAACTTTGAATAAAACTCACCCCTGAGGTCATCTTTCAGCTAAAAATGAGACTGGCTTACAGGCGTTTCACCTGTGAGTACTATGTTGTTTTAAGAAATCATATATATGAGACCAAATGGTCAAGAATTACTTTAGAACAAAGATGAGAAGGCAAAGGGGCAAGGAAACTAGATCAGTGGAAATGGAACAACCAGAATGGATATAATGAGAATAATAATAATAATTCTTCACATACTGTGAATGTAACCAATGTAATGCAACCAATTTATGTAGAAATTGTTGGACTGGAACCCAAATTGCTGTGTAAAACTTGATCAAAAACACAAAACATTATTTGAATAATAATTTAAAAAAAAAGTAAATGAAGAGAATAACAGTTCTATCTGGGGGCAGAAAGAGGGGATGCTGCATTCCATCTAGATTGTGAGTGGGCTTCCTTTTGTCACCACGTGTTGGCCAGATTGTGGCTGGTTACATACTCCCCCTGCCTGGGCTAAAGACATTCCCATTGGAATGAAGTAGGCATCCTAGGGAGCTGCCTCCATTCCTGGCACTGCGGATCATTTCAGCACTATAATATGGGATGCCCAGAGTTACTGGACCAAATGAAGTCACCGTAGCATCTCTCCTTTCTCCGCAAATGTGATGGAGGCACAAATATATGCACATATAGTAGTTTCCACCTTGGACCAGGGCACACAGCCTGAAGATAACCTCCACCTTACTTCCTCCTCCAGCATTAGCTCCTCTCAAAGCTCAGCACTGCTGACAGAAATTTAAGCACACATTCCACGAGCCTCTGAAAACTCTCTCTCCACAGGGAGCTCCTGAAATCTTGAATTGTCCCCACCCACAGTTTCCAGCTGGAATACCTAGCTTGTGGTGAGTACTTCTTCAACACCCCACAGTCACAGCAAGAACTGATGGAAACAGCTTGTCTTTCAGGTTACAAAAATATCATTGCAATTGGAAGACGGAACTGGAAATTTTAGTAGTCAGAAGTTACTTTGGAGCAGTGCTGTCCAATAGAACTTTCTGCACTGTCCAAAGCCACTGGCCACATGAGACTAATGAGCACTTGAAATGTGGCTAGACTAAGGAACTGAATTTTTAATTTTAATAAAGTTAAATTAAAATTTTAATTAATTTAAATAGCCACATGTAGCTAGTGGCTACTGTATAGGAAAGCTTAGCCTTAGTACAATGGAAAAAAATAAGTAATAAAGGGATTAAAAAGCCACCTCTTTTATCGCCTGTCTATTATCTCAGGGCCTCTGTATATACCATTCCTTCTGCCTGAAATTCTTCTTCTGTCACTTATACTTAGCTAACTCTGCCTCCTTCCCAGGGCTCTCTTTCTTACCCCACTAATTAACAAGGCCTCTTGTTAACTTCTCCAACAGCACCCTGACCTTTCCATGCAGCTCTTCCCTGCAGTGTCAGTACATCTTTTTATGACTATTTCTTAGTCTCTGGACTGCAAACACCTTCGGGGTAGGTTTGTGTCTGCTTTTCTCACCACTGTATCCCCAGAGCCTCGCTCAATGAGTATCTGCTGAGTGAAAAAAGGCAGGCAGGAAGTGAGGAAGGAGGAAGAGGACATTAGTCTGTGAGCCTCCCCTTCCCAGCACTGTCATTATCTGTGGCCAGGTTGGCCCCACGCTTCCAGGAGAAAGGCTCTGTAGGCACCATCAGCCAAGGAGAAGGCATCAATCCTATGTGGACCTCTCACCTACTGGTACCATGAAGACAAAGTATTTATAAGCAAGGGCTTTGCTTAATGCAGTCTCCACTCTAGTGTTTAATGTCTTCTGTCATTCATTCATTCATTCATTCAACAAATGTTTACTGAATGCTGTCTCTGTGACAAGCATTGCTCTAGGGGCTAGAGGTACAGCTGGGACAAGGTCTCAAAGAAGACTGGTAATAAGCAACTGAACACAGATTTATAAAGGTCATTTCTGTGTGTGTGCGAAGGATCACTGTGAAGGAACTGAACATGGTGATGTGAAGGTGGGAACAACTTTCAGTAGGATGGTCAGGGTGAGCCTCTCTGGGGAGAGGACCTCTGAGCTAAGACTTGAAGGCTGAGAAGGAGCCAGTGCGGAGAACATCACAGGCAGAGGAAACAGCAAGTACCAAGGCCAGTGGCAGGAGACAGCTTGGAAAGCTCCAGAAACAGAAAGGGGGCCAAAGTGGTCAGAGTGTTATAAAAGGAAGTCAGAGGGGTGGGCAGGGCTGGATCATGTCAGGCCTTGAGGCCATGGTGAGCAGTGAACTTTACATTGAGGGTAGTGGGAGGGCAACAGACACAAAGTAGGGTCCTAAAAAGTGTTTGCAGAATGAACGAATGAACAAATGCAGTGTGTATGCAGGGGAGTGACACATCTGAATTATGTTGATAAAAGACAAGCAACTGTAGCCCAACCCCTTGCACTGTGGTCCCATCAACCATGGTTGTGTACTCAGAGAGGGCACATGACCCTGTTGAGAGAGGGCAATGGGGCTGCTGGGGCTGCCACACCTGCTGCGCTGCCCCTGGGGGTAGGAAGAAGCCCAATTACCGAAGACAGCCGCCTCATTTTACTTGACCGCTGGTTGCGAGGTTTAACCAGGAGCTTGTGTTTGGCTGCAGAGTTGTCCAGGCAGGAGGAGAATTCTGGGGGGTAATTGAAATCAGCCATAGGAGCGATGCTGCTGTCTGAGGTCCGAGGGGATACTGAGGCGTCGCTTGTATGGTCTGGAGACAGTGCCCGGGATGAAGAAACTAAAGAGACCTTCACGGGACAAGGAGAAAACACACCAAGCATTAACTTTACAATGTGAAATGGATACAGCCAACACATCAACTCTCCCCTTGTATTTGTGCTTTGTCTTCCCATACTGTCTTTGGGCTTCATGTGGGGAAAGGTTTTAAATTTGATGCTCAACAGGGAGGGTACTGTGATACTCCATTAGAAAGCTCCATGGCTGACAGTTTAAAATGTTGGACCATGTATCAGTCAGCATTCTCCAGAGGAACTGATCCAACAGGATGAAGAAGCAACATCATGATAAATGGAGAAACGATTGAAGTAGTTAAGGATTTCTTTTTACTTGGATCTACAATCAACGCCTATAGAAGCAGCAGTCAAGAAATCAAGGGATGTATTGCACTGGGCAAATCTGCTGCAAAAGACCTCTTCAAAGAATTAAAGAGCAAAGCCACTTTGAAGACTAATGTGGGCCTTACCCAAGCCATGGCATTTTCAATTGCTTCATATGCATTGTGAAAGCTGGACAATGAATAAGGAAAACCACAGAAGAATTGATGCATTTGAATTGTGGTGATGATGAAGAACACTGAATATACCATGGACTGACAGTAGAACAAACAATCTGTCTTGGAAGAAGTACAGCCAAAATGTTCCTTAGAAGCGAGGATGGTGAGATTTCGTCTCTCAAACTTTGGTCGTGTTCTCAGGAGGGACCATTCCCTGGAGAAGGAAATCATGCTTGGTAAAGTAGAGGGTCAGCATAAAAAAGGAAGACTCTCATCTTGATGGATAAACATAGTAGCTACAACAATGGGCTCAAGCACAGCAACAATTGTGAGGACGGTGCAGGACCAGGCAGAGTTTCATTCTGTTGTACACAGTTACTATGAGTAGGAACCGACTCAACAGCACCTAACGACAACAAAAATGTCGGTATATGTGTATATATGTGTGTGTGTGTGTGTGTGACATCCCTGGGTAGTGCAAACGGCTAAGGATTTGGCTGGTAACCAAAAGGTTGGAGGCTTGAATCCACCCAAAGGCAAGGTAGAAGAAACATCTGGAGAGCCACTTTCAAAAATCCATCACCAAAAATCCCGATGCCACACAGTTCTCCAACACACGTGGAGCTGCCACAAACAGCAATCAACCTCAAAAGGTTCATAGAGATGCACGTTTATATATAATTCAAAAAATGGCTGTAGTACTACATACATAGGGAACTGCCAGAAATTAAAGCTAGATTCATAAGAGAACATGGAATGAGGGATATCATTGCCAATGTCAGATGGATCTTGGCAGAAAGCAGAGACCACCAAAAAAATGTTTACTTGTGTTTTATTGATTATGCAAAGGCAGGTGACTGTGTGGATCACAACCAATTATGGATTACATAAAATAATCTGAGAAGGCAGATTATATGAAGAACACAGCATCAGGATTGGAGGAAAACTCATTCACAATCTGTGATTTGCAGATGAGACAACATTGCCTGCTGAAAACGAAGAATACTTGAAGAATTTATTGATGAAGATCAAAAACTACAGCATTCAAAAGAAAAAAAAAAAAGACTACAGCATTCAATATGGATTACATATCAATATAAAGAAAGCAAAAATTCTCACAACTAGACCAATAAGCAACATCATGATAAAAGGAGAAATATTGAAGTAGTCAAGGATTTCATTTTACTTCAATCCATAGTCAACGCCCATAGAAGTAGCAGACACGAAATCAGATGATGTATTTCATTGGACAAATTTGCTGCAAAAAAACATTTCTAAAAGGTTCAAAGGCAAAGATGTCACTTTGAGAACTAAGGTCTGCCTGACCCAAATCATGGTATTTTCAATCATGTCATATGTATGTGAAAGCTGGACAATGAATAAGGAAGACCACAGAAGAACTGATGCATCTGAATTACTGTGTTGATGACGAATACTGAATATACCATGGAATTCCAGAAGAATGAACAAATCTGTCTTGGAAGAAGTACAGTCAGAATCTTCTTCAAACCAAGGATGGTGAGACTTCATCTCCATGTATGTTGGGCATACCCCAACCAAAACTCACTGCTGTCGAGTCAGATCTGACTCATAGTGACCTCTCCTTGAGTTTCTGAGGAGGTATCACTAAGGAAGTGGATTGCCCAAACTTCCTTCCGAGGAGTGGCTGGTGGGCTTGAACTGCCAGCCTTCTGGTTAGCAGTCAAATGCCTTAGGCACTATGCCACCAGAGGGCCCATTCCCTAGAGAGACCATCATGCTTGGTAAAGAAGAGGAGAGTGAAAAAGAGGAAGACTCTCAACAAGATGGACTGACACAATGGCTGCAAATAATAGGCTCAAATATAGCAATGATTTTGAGGATGGCACGGGACTTGGCAGTGTTTTGCTCTGCTGTACATGAAGTCACATGAGTCAGAACTGACTGGATGGCATCTAACAACAATAACAACATACAGATGGATATATATGTATATATGTACATTGTATATACTATACACATACACACACATACACACACACAAACATACGTGTGTGTGTGTGTGTGTGTGTATTGTTAGTTGCCATCCACTCAATTAAGTGATTTATGTTAAGGAATTGGCTCATGCAATTGTACAGGCTAGCCGGGCTAGAAAGTCCAAAATTTTAGGGTAGGCTGACAGGCTGGAAACTCAGGCAGAATTTCTACATTACAGTTTCAAGGCAGAGCTTCTTCTTCTTCTTCAGAAACCTCTATTTTTACTTTTATAGCCTTTAATTGATTGGATGAGGCACATCCCCATTATCAAGCTTGACCTACAAAATGTCTTCACAGCAACATCTAGACTAGTGTTTGACCAAACAACTGAACACTAAAACCCAGCTGAGTTGATACAGAAAATTAGCTCTCAGAGGCCAAGCCCTGAAAACCCACCATGTATTTCTCATAATGAGCAGAGGACTTGTCCAGGCAGTCTCAGCAGGATGACTTTGCCTTCACCTTTCCTATAACAGCTGACACAAGGCTTTTTTTTTCTTTTTTTGGTATTTCTTTATGTTTTATTACATTTGTTCTCCCAGGATACTAGAGAGGTTTTGCTAGATGATAATTTTCATGGGTTGATTTGTGTGGTGGTTATGTTTTTGTGGGTAACCTTGGCTGGGCCTGGTTGAGTGGCTGAGCAGCTGGTGGTAGTTATTCCCCATGATAAGACTGGCAATCAACTCCATGGTGGGATCTACCACAAGCAGCTAAGTAGCTGCTTTGGGTATGTGTCTGCTTCCTGTATGTAAGAAACAGCTGTGGGAATGGTCTCTAGCTTATGGCACACTTGAACCCTGCATGGAGCTGTGTTGTTGTTCAGCAGCTGCCATGCTTTGCCAACCTTGGGACTTACAATGGACTTGAATTAATAGCCTGCCATGTGGTTTGGTAACATTGGGACTATGTCTTTTTCCTTGTCAACCTTGGGTTTGTCAGTCTCAGCAGCCAGCAGCCGTCTGAGTGAAGAAAAGCCTCTGGCTCCAGTGGGCTGGGAGCAGGAGGCAGAGCTGAACCCCAAGGCTGAGGGGCTTTCACTCAGGCCCTAGAGCATGGCACTTTGAACTTGGACTTAAAGCCTCCAAACTGTAAGAGAATAAACTCCTATCTGTTCAAGCCATTCCATTTGTGGTATATTCTTGTCAGAGCAGCACTAGGTAACCAGAACAATTTGTGTCCCAAAAAAAGATATGTGGAAGTCCTCACCCCAATACCTGTGACTGTGCCCTTATTTGGACATAGGGTCTTTACAGATAGCATGGGGTGACACTGGAGGGTGACTGGAGGGTGGGTCTGAATCCTGTATGACTGGTATCCTTGTAGAAAGAGACACAGAAGATGGCCATGTAAAGACAGAGGCAGAGATTGGGGCCAAGGGACTCTTGAGGTGACCAGAAGCTGGAAGAGACCAGGAAGGATCTTCCATGACAGGCCACAAGGCCTTTTTAGACATGGGCTGCTTTCTCTGATGAAAGAGACCAGTCTAACTTCTCCAAAGGTAGAGTCATGCTTGGTTCTGTCTCTGGGTGGCCCAGAGTGAATTTAGAGGTGGCAGCACTGGTAGTGCCAAGCTTACCACCCAGCATTCCATCACTGTTAGTTTCATCTGTTCATGTGGTAGTTAAATTTGTATGTCAACTCGGCTGGGCCTGGTTGAGTGCCTGGGCAGCTGGTGGTAGTTATTCCCCATGATGAGACTGGCAATCACCTCTATGGTGGGACCTACCACAAGCAGGTGCCTACCACAAGGCACAAGCTGCCTTTGGGATGTGGTCTGCTTCCTGTATATAAGGAACAGCTTTGGGAATGGGTACTTACAGGAATAAAGCCTGAAAATTACTTTAAAAATGAACCACAAAACTACTGGCCATTACTGATTTGTACCTATGGCTTTGGGCTCCACTGTTGTAGTTAAAAGGAGCCCTAGTCGGACAGTGGTTAAGCGCTTGGCTAGTAACTAAAAGGCTATCAGCTTCTCTCTGGGAGAAAGATGAGGTAGTCAGCTTCCATAAAGAATACAGCCTTGGAAACCCTACAGGGCAGTCCTACTCTGTACTGTACGTTGCTATGAGTGGGAATCAACTCGACATGAATGGGTTTGGTTGTAGCTGCCAAAAAAAAAAAACAACAACAAAAAACCCAAACTCACTGCTATCAAGTTGATTTGACTCATAGCAACCCCTCCTTGGGTTTCTGAGGCGGTACCTCTACAGAAGTTGATTACCCAATCTTCCTTCCAAGGAGTGGCTGGTGGGTTTGTACCACCAGCCTTCTGGATAGCAGTCAAATGCCTTAGGCACTACACCACCGATGTTAGACTCAGCAAGTGACAGCTTTCCTAATAATCCTCCATAAGGGTCACAGGATATGTCTCTTTCAAAATCAGACCAAAACCAAACTAAACTCACTGCCATCAAGTTGATTCCAACTCATAGTGATCAGAACAGAAGAGAACTGTCCCATAGGGTTTCCAAGGCTGTAAATCTTTATGGAAACAGACTGCCTCATCTTTCTCCCATGGAGCAGCTAGTGAGTTCAAACTGCTGATCTTTTGGTTAGCAACCAAATATCTTAACCCCTGCACCACCAGCACTCCTTCAAAATAATAAATCCTTAATTCTTTCTCTTGCTTAGAGGAACAGTATAAACATCTGGTTTGGAGCTGGGCTCTCTCCTTGATACATGGGGTTAGAAATTATCTGCTCTCCTTCACTGCCTGTCCTAACTAAACTCCATGACTTTATGTCCACAAATGTCTTTGCAGCACCTTTGTTTTCTCTCACTGTCTGAGACTCAAGAGAACAGGCAAGATCAGCTGCTTTGCAAAAGCAGTGACCCCATGAATGAGAAAGACTGTGCTGTCTGGGAAAGCACTAGTCCTTCAGCCACCCCTCTGTAAGCTCAGCACCCTGAAGGCCCTAAAGGAGAAGAGCCTCTGCTCCTCCCCCATTGGACTGCCCTGCATTCCCACTGCCTTTCCTGGAGAGCAGTGAGGGTGGCGAAGGCTGCCACACAAAGAGCAGTCCTGGGCTTAGGCCCACGCTAGTCTACTATTTCAGTGACCTTGGCAAGCTCAGCTTCTTGACAGAGAGGAGAGGCCTCTGTCACATATGCAAAGTGCCTATTGTAGGTGATCTAGGAAATGGAACTCCTCTCACCGCAAACTCTCACTTCTCCATCTTAACTGTCAATCTGAGAGTTCGTAGGGCCTGGAAAGACCACAAGGAGCCCTGGTGGCACAGTGATTAATTTAAACACTTGGCTGCTAACTGAAAAGTCAACAGTTTGAACCCACCAGCCGCTCAACAAGAGAAAGATGTCAATCTGCTTTCTTAAAGGTTTACAATCTTAGAAACCTTATGGAGCAATTCTACTCTGTGCTGTAGGGTTGATATGAGTCAGAATTGACTTGATGGCAACAAGTAACAGGGAAAGACCAACACCTTCATGACTGAAGAGAATCATGAGTTCTGTCTTTGATCATAACTATGTGGAAGTCAGGTCTGTGGGAGGGGTACTAGAACAATAAAGGGACAGGGAAGCTGGCTGGCATTTCCATCAGTGGGCTGACAGCATCTAGGGCTTTTACATTTGCACTGTTTAGTCCTAGTCACCCAATCTGTCTTGAAATCTAGATGCTTCTGGAAATGTCTAGAAGCATAGCATTTAAAAGTTTAATGTGTGGGGGGAATGTGGTTCAAAGGGCCATGAGGAAACAGCTTGAGGTTCAGAGACATTTTCTGTGGTGATCCTAGATGACAACTGCTTTTCAACATTTGTCCTCAAAAAGAAAGATCTAGCCAGTGAGAAGTGGGACAACAGCAGTAGATGAGGGATTGGTCAGCAGATATGAAGCAGTGACAGTGGGACTGAGGAATAGAAGTATGCTGGGTCTCGGCTCATGCTGGTCATTCCTTTCATGGGAAAGGAAGGCACTGATCTACCTGACCTCATTCAATCTCCAGAGTCCTCTGAGGACACATTCTAAGAAGTACAGAATCTGCCCAAGGCCACGGTCTTGACTGGTGAGACAAGTTTTGCCCATTTGCTGCCAAAGTCCACGTTCTTTCCACTACATTACCTTCCCTTATCACCTGCAGCAAAAGATTTACCAGTTCATCACCCTCCAATCTGCTTAATGGCAGGAACCCTAGAACATGACCAATTATATATATATAGTTACCTTACAAATCACCTGATAAGGTCTTATCAGATGTTGCTACTTCTCATGGTGTTGATATTAAAAAAATAACTACATGTAGTTCCTGAAAACTTACTGCATCAGGAAATAGAACCATGTCACTACCATCAAATACTAGTTACTGAAGACTTTTCTTAAAAACAATCTTCCATAAAGTTCCCTGTCAAGTATGTAGGCATGTGTAAGGTGTTGACACAGGAAAAAATAAAACATCCCACGATCCTTTCCTTTAAGTCCCAGTTCCTAGATCACCTACAACAGGCACTTTGCACATGTGACAGAGGTCACTACTCTGAGGGTCAGGAAAGGATTGTGGGCTATTTTATCATATCATATCATATCAAATACCACAGATTATGTAAGCTAATTTTAAAGGGTGCATTGTTTCTCCCCTGCAATTGGCTAATTATGCACAAAAAAACTTTCAGGGTACAAAATGAGATCATTGTGTATTCAAAACCATGATAAAGATGTCCTTTTTTTTCTTTGAAAAGTCTTAAAGGCTCAAATTTTGATATTCTACAAAGTTAGTGAAATGTTCATTTCACTTAAATGAACATTAAAATCTCAAAAACATTTTTAACAAATTAACAACCACTAGAGGATACTGGGGAGCTCTGGTGGCATAGCACCTAAGGCATTTGACAGCTAACCAGAAGGCTGGCAGTTCAACCCACCAGCCACTGCTCGGAAGGAAGGTTGGGCAACCTACTTCTATAGTGATACCACCTTGGAAAGCCAAGGAGGGGTGGCTATGAGTCAGATCTGACTCCACGGCAATCAGTTTAGTTTTGGTTTGGTTCGGAGAATACTGAGAAAGACGTGGTCAGTATTGTCCCAGTGTGAGGGGCTCCCATTCAGCTAATGCTGGCCTCTGTGCATCTTATTGCTTTGCAGGTTTGGAGCTAGAAGAACTAACATGCTTAGTGTGAGTCAGAGAACAATGGGATGGAATGAGGGAGATCAAGCAATGAGGCGTAATGAGGTGGCTCTGGACAGACATCTGCCTACCACAGGGCCTGAAACATACATATTCTCATCTGGTCCTAAGGCAACAGATGTTGAAGCTGCACACAAGAAGGTGCAGACAAAAAATTGTTTTTGTTATAATTACACTGTGGGCAACCACAAGCTTGCAACTCCCTCTCCAGTATTTTAAGGGTTTAAGAAGTGTTAAAGCGTGCAGGATTGGCTCATAGTCCAGGAAACAAGCTAAACCATCCTCTTTCACCTCTCTTCCTCCTCCTTGAGAGAGCATGTGTACAGAGACCTACACTCCTTGGACTCCTGCAGCAGGCCTACTCTGCAGCAGAACAGAATTGTTCTCGAGCCAGCCCTGTGCCAATCCCCTGAATCTGGACATCATTTAAACTCAGCCACACCACACTCTTCCATGTGCTTTGGCTTCAGTGATGCTCTGAAAACCCACAAGTGCACACATATTAGCTAAATATTTCTTCCCCTGCCTTTGTGGGGGAAAAGAGGTGTTCTAAATGTCCAAATTTAGGCAGTTTCTGAATGTACTTAAAAATTGCTCAGGAGCTGCAGGACAGCTGTTATGTATTGCATTGTGTTCCCCAAAAAGGTATGTTGAAGTTCTAACCCCTATACCTGTGAATGTGACCTTGTTTGTGAAAATACAGTTTTCCTTTGCAAGTGTTATCTGTTACCAATGTCATACCTGAGTATTGTTGATCCTAATCCTATATGACTGGACAGAGAGGACAGACAGAGAAACAGAGTCACATACAGAAGGAAAACACCAGGTGAAGATCAATCTATAAGCAAAGGAATGTCAAAGATTTGTCAGCAGCTATCAGGAGACAGGTATGGAACAGTTCTTCTCCGAGCCCTCAGTAGGAACTGACTCAGCTGATTCCCTGAATTTGAACACCTAGACTCCAGAAGTGTGAGAAAATAAATTTCTGTTCTTTAAAGCCACCCACTTTGTGGTGTCTTGTTATGGCAGCCCTAGGAAAATAAGACAACCACGATTCCTAATAAGGGCCCCACAATTTCATTACGATCAGCCCCCTAACCAGGGCAGAGGTGAGCAGGCCAACAGTTATGAAAAAGGACTGTGGCCTTCACTGTTTTTCAATTGTCAGTATAACATGGATAACTCCAACTTCTATCTAGCCTACAGGCTTATCTACAAGGGAAAAATAATAACATATTTAATCATTTTTAAGGAGCCTTGGTGGCACAGCGGTTAAGAACTCGGATGCTAACCAAAAGGTCCATGGTTCACTCCCACTAGCTGCTCCACAGGAGAAAGATGAGGCAGTTAGTTTCCATAAAGAAAACAGTCTTGGAAACTCTATGGGGCAATTCTACTCTGTCCTACAGGGTTGGTGTGAGTTGAAATAGACTTGACAGAAACTAGTTTTGATTTCTTATGTACAAATATGTAGTATGGGTTTAAAATGGTAGCATTGTGAGCTACATTGTGCAAGAGAATGAGCTGGATTCCTCAGCTCCCTCTCACTGATTCTAATGGGGGAAGGCAGTAGTCAAGACCAGTTCCACCTGCTGTTGAGGTCATAAACACCTCCCCTGCTTGTTGAATTTTCTCTGCTGCTATGTTTACCAGCACCACACCTCACATTTCTGCCTCTAGCCCAACAAGCTCTCATAGTCATAGGTTCAGAGAAATTAGAATCTAGATTAAGTTCTATATACATCTACTATTCACTTCTCCCTCCAGTCAAATGTCATGACAACAGAAACAAACACAAAGGTATTAAACTTCTTTTAAATGGGGTTACTGGCCTAGTGATATGCTCAGAGAAGAATTATGAGGTATAGGGTTCACTGTATTAGACTGATAACAATTATGACAAATGTTATCAAAACCACATCTCCTAACAAGACCTGAATCTCTGCTCAAAGAATGAAAAGAAATACCAAAATACCAAAAGGCCAACTGTGGGCTCTAGTGACCTGGCCTAGAATATCGGCTGGTCCACATCAAGATGACCATACCTACCATGGAGATCTTCAGAAAACATACATGGCCAACCAGTGTTCCCCAGATGCCCACCATGGTGGGTGAGGATGGAGACACAGGGAGGTGCACTTGCCTTTATGGTTGTGCTAGTGACAACATCGTGTAGCAGGGACATCTCTGGTGGGCTGCTAGGTAGCCCATCATCCTCAGAGCTCATGCCAGCATCATCTCCACGCTTGACAGGAAGTCCTCCAGGGGGAGGTGGTGGCCCCATTTTCACATTACACTGTATTTTCAACTAGATTGGAATAAAGAACATTTGCTCTTAACTTCACAGCAATATTTATCAACAAATTCTTCCATTCACTTATTCAAGAAAGATATTTAGCATTCTTGCCTAGTACAAAGGGGCTGAACTGAAAGAACGTCTGCCACCAGCTCTCCTGGTACCATCTTGAAAACAAGTGCTTATAACTTAGCATCAGTCAAGATCTAGTTGTAACTAACTTGTTATGTCTTCTGCTGGTTGTGATGTGCATGTAATTTTATAGTTTAACATATATCAAATAAAACAAGCAGAAACAATTTAAAAATCTTTTTGACATAATTTCCAAGTAATTATGTAAAGTGAAAAGCTTTACCTGAAGAGCTTTGATCCGATCACACACATTTTCTTGGGAAAACACTCGCACAGGTCGAGTAGGATCCTGTCCTGACTCGGGAATGAAAATACTGTCGTGTGAGAGGGCCCGGCTGCCCAGTGCGCCCCTTGACTCCCTAGGATAAAACAGGCAATATGAGACTCTCCCTACCTCCAGCTCCACTGACTTGCGGAGTACCTAGGATGAGCTCAAAAGGGGGATGTGAGTACATGGCACGTCATACCACAAGCTCTTTGCTACATTTATTTTTCAATTGCCTGGATTTCAATATATTCCCCCGTTGTCAAATACAGCAATCAACTCTTATGAGCATTGTAGAGATAGGCATTTTCCTGAAGATCTGAAAGTTATGTGAATTCTTTTTATTAATGGACAACCCAAGGTGTGATGAGGTGTGAGGTCCAAGGCAGCAAGATGCAGAAAAGAAGGGCTGGCAGGCAGCTTCAGTCTAGTTACCTGGGTTCTATAGAAGTCTATCTTGAAGGCTTGGGAAAGGTGAAGCAACTTCTTGTGAGCAAGCAGACCTTCCGTGGGCTGGAGGCTGCATGTGCACAGCAGGCTGAGGGCCTGCCTGATGGATGGATCCTTGCAAGACCCTCTAAAACACACTTCCACAGCTGTGTTTGAAATGAAAGTTTTAAATCTGTGAAGCCATGCCCTCTTTTTATTACTTGTTGCTGATATTACATGAACTGTGCACTCTGACCTCTGGGCTTAGGTCCTAGAGCAAGATGGAGGACAATTCTTTCACCATCATCCCAGGCCCCACCCGAGCATAGAGTTCAAGGCTTGGATTTGGACTCACAGGGAATTCACAAACTGTCATAAGGGGATGTAAGAATTAGCTGTCAGATTTTCCTAGCAGTGGTGGCTGTCTGAACAATAGGTGGAAGGACATGATTGAGACTGATGATGAAGGAAGGAAAGCCTGCTCTGCACACATGGGACATCTTGTGCACTGCGCCCCACCCTCCCAGGCATCCTGCCTCTGTGGTGTGGGTGCAGAGACTCTTAGGTGTGGCCCTGCCCCGCTGCAGAGCAAATTGTGTTGGTTAATGGTGCTTTCTTTTCATTAAGCTTCTTTCTGGCTCATAAGAGTGAGTTTGCAAGTGGGAAACCTATGGCTCCCAGACAAGTGTATCCTTTCATTTCTTACAGGGAATCAAGAATTGTGAAGCAAGTCAAGCCCCTTTGACCATGGGTCTTAACATAAAGATCATTTGTACACTGGATTCCCTCCTACAGTAGGACAGATTATGTCCACACCATTTTTGGAATCAAAACTCTGTCCAAACACCTCCAGTCTTGGTATAACTAGTCGTTGAGACAGCATGAATGCCATACACACAGGGCCATTGAGGACATTAATATTTATACAAGCAAAAGACTGGGAACAACCCAAATGCCCATCTGTAGGAGTCTGATGAAATAAACTAAGAGATGTCCTTACAATGGAGGGCATTGCAGCTGACTTGATGGGTGAGGAAGATTGCTATCACTAGACAGTGACATACAGGCATCACCTGGTTTTCTGAGGTAAAAACATGATTATAGAGTACAGACAACGTAAATTTTATGCTACCTTTGTTTGAGAAAGGAGGGTGTGAATAGATGCATGAGTACATATAAATATATGTATGTATTTGCTTAGATTAAAAAAAATGGATAAATTTAAAAATGATTATAAATGGCTTCTTTCAGGGGGAATGAGAGAACAAGATGGGGGGACAGGGGGCAAAGGTACCTACATTTACAATTTTGTCTTTGAAGCTCTAAAAATGCTTTATATAATTAAAAGAAAAAAATAGATCAAAAGGGGAAATAAAACAATTTCCATAATCAGGTCAAAACAAAACAAAACAAAACAGAAACAAATAAACCTAACTGTATATCAGGTTGTTGGCATAAACACACAAAGAAAAGTCTTATTTCAAGTGATTTTAAAGTGCAGTATTTTGACTCTGCATCCAGAATAAATTCTAAGAACAAAGAAATTACAAATTACAAAGAAATTACAAATCAACTGTACTCAGTACTTAGTAACAGCAATATTGATAGTGTTGTTCTGAAATTATTATAAGTATACTATAGGATAGGAGCTTGGCTGGTGGTTCAAACCCACCAGCCACTCCTTGGAAGGAAGATGGGGCAATCTACTTCCATAGTGATACTGCCTCGGAAACCCAAGGAGGGGTCACTATGAGTCGGGTCCGACTTGACGGCACATAACAACAACAACATATTGTAGGATAAAGAAAATAAATAATTTTGTTAATATTAATAGGAACCAAGATTTCTAGTAAAAAAAATTGAACCTTAAGCTAATCAAGCCTCTAGATTCATTGGCCAGTTTATAAGAGACTTCAGGAATAAGTTTAGTCATACTAAGAGAAAACATTCAGCCAAATCCATAATGTGGGATATTTTGCAGGGTCAATGACCCTGCCTCTTCTATCAGATCACTGACATGAAACAAAGGGTAGGGTGGTGAGAGGAAACTGTCATAGATTAAGAGACTAAAGAAGCCTAACCACATGCACACAGAGACACCATAAATGGGCATCAACTTCTTAACCCCCCAGGGTTCTGTGGAGCTTGCTAGCATCAATGTGCCTTGGCAAATGGAATATTTGTGCCTTGGCCCATGGTAAGAGATAAGAAGCTGAGGCAGGATGAGCTCAATTGTGGGCTGAAGTTGCTGTAGAATCTAGAAGGTATGAATGCTCTTGCAGAGGTTAAAGGGTGCCTTTCAGATCTTACCTCTTCCTCTGTGCTGCTCTCTGAAAACATGCTCATCTGACACCCCACCCTCAAGCTTCCTTTTGAAGCATCAATTTCAGTAAAATTTTACCATAATTGAGTTCCAGGCCCTTGTGAGGTTCAGGGTATATAAAGATGAAAAGGACACTGTCCCTGCTTTCAATGGTTTGCTGGCGAGGGGGAAGAGACGGACAAGTGGACAGGTTCTTTTATTTCGGCTCACTCCTCCAGCCATGCTTTGAGAGTCAGATCACTCTCCTATTCCCAGGCCTGTCTCCCCAACACCAGAACTGTGTGTGCTAGTCTAGAGACAGGGTGTGTCTGTGTGTGGGGGTGTGTGTTATAGCTTCCCTGGGGCTGGTCAAGTGAGAATACCTATTGATAAGCAATAGTATCAAGGTGGGGACCTCTGGGGGAGCTCTGGTAGCATAGTGCCTAAGGCATTTGACTGCTAGCCAGAAGGCTGGAAGTTCAAACCCACCAACCACTCCTTGGAAGGAAGGTAGCGGAATCTACTTCCATAGTGATACTACCTGGGAAACCCAAGGAGGGGTTGGAAACCCAAGGAGGGGTTGCTATGAGTTGGGTGACTCATGGCACATAACAACAACAACAACAAGGAGCCCTGGGGCACAATGGATAAGATCTCAGTTGCTAACAGGAAGGCTAGTGGTTTGAACTCAACCAGCAACTCTGTGAAGAAAGATCTGGCACTAAGCTCCCGTAAAGATTATAGCCAGCTAACCCTATGGGGCAGTTTTCCTCTACCACATGGAGTCACTGTGAATAGAAATCTATTTGATGGAACCCAACAACAATATTAGCAAGGTTACATTTTCTTCTCTAAGGGTTCTAAGCTCACTGCCTTAAAAATGTGTGTACAGTTCATGCCCTCCAGCCTCCATAAACGACAGTGCGGGTCTATCCTGTGTAGTGCCATTACCTGAAAAACAAAAACCTAATCTTTCCTTTTCAGTTGTTTGCTGCCACCAAGTGGTCAGTGTAATTTCCACTCCTTTTAAAACAGTGCCGTATTGTACAGGGGATTAACACTGGGCAATCTATTTCCATAGAGATCCTATCTTGAAAACACTCCACAGCAGTGAGTTTGGTTTTTGGTATTGTTCAGGGAGCACTGTGTTTATATTAATAAAAAACAAAATAAACAAACAAACTCATTGCCATCGAGTCAATTTCGACTCATAGTGATCCTATAGAACAGAGCAGAACTTCCCCATAGGGTTTCCAAGGCTGTAATCTACAGAAGCAGACTGCTACATCTTTCTCACACAGAATAGCTGGTGGGTTCGAACCACTGACCTTTCGTTTAGCAGCCGAGCGTTTAACTACTACACTACCAGGGCTTTTTGTTTATATTAATAACAGTGGAATAATTTGCCAGAGGATAGTGATAATGATTGCACAATATAAAGAACCTAACAATCTCACTAAAGAATACATGTAAAAATTGTTGAACTGAAAAACATTTTGTTATGTGTATTTTTATTATGCACACACAACAAAGTTAAAAACAAACAGGCAAGGAGGCTCCTGAGGACGAGAGGAGGAGAGAGGACATATCATCGGAAGGCTTAAACCTATGACTCCATCTGGGTCTAATCCCCAATCCTCAGGGTCATGATGCCTTCTGAAGATTTTATCCTCCAAATTAAGAGGCCAATGACGCTGAAAAGAAAATACAAAAGGTGGTGTTGCAATAAATAGGTTTCTTTTGTTTCCTTTTGGTCACAGAAATAATTTCTAGGATAACTGGAGTATATGTATTATTACTATTTTGAGGAAATAAAAGTTAAATAAGGATTTCTTCACTAGACTTTCCCAAATTTTCATATGTATTGGGTATATATTAGACTATTTTTCTAATATTAAACAGCAAGAAACTTTTTTCAGTTTTAGTATCTCTAATGGAAAAATTTCTTATTAAATTATTACTCAAAGGTCAACTTTAGAGATAGGCAGTTTTCTAGTTTAGTATCCAAGTCCTCAAGAGAGTTTTAAGCCAAATTAAACCAGGGCCCATATCCTGGTTTATCCTATAGCTATAGGATTCTGGCAAATTCCAAACTTTCTCTAAGGCTTCGTTTGCTCATTTATAGTAAAGTGATATATGGTACCTTCTCTCCCACAGTTATTGTGACTTTTAATAGATACAACACCTGGCACACAGTAGGTGCTCAATGTTTTCTCCAACCCTTTGTGTGAAAAGACCAAAACCACAATTTCTATAAAAGAACTTCCAATGAAATTACCTAGAAGAAAAGTAGGCTCAGAAAACCAATAGGCAAATTACCGAGAGAGTAAAATAGAATGTTTGGGTCCACCTGTACCCAGCCACCCCTCATGCTTGTTGGGCCACACAAAACCTCATGGATATATAAAGCAACTCACTCAAGTTCATCCTCTGAGTCATAGCCCACTGGCCCTGACTCAAGGGCAATGACCTCACTCTTCGCCTGACTTTGTTTCCAGGTGCTACTTCCTGTGGTTGAGGGTGATTCCTTTCTCTTCTTCTTCCCAAAGAACTTCTTAAAAGTTTTGAATTTGGATTTTTTCTTTCCTAGATAAATTTAAAAACATGTAAATAAGTAAAAGCATGCATTTGTGTGCATACATGAACTCACCAAACACAGGTGAGATGTGTCCATGAAAGAGAGAAAAGCAAGATTTTTGTCTGTACATCAATCATCCATTCCTAAAGAGACTTCTTAACTGTACAGATGCACACAACACATCTTTTTTTTTTTTTGCTTTCTTTTTTTTTTTTTTAATTGTGATTTGGATGAAGATCTACAGAGCAAATTCACTTTCCATACAGCAGTTCACATACACTGTCTCATGACATTGACCACAGTTTACCATTATGCAACAGCTCTCCTCCCACTTCCTCCCCATAGTTACCTCTTCCCAGTGTCCATCCCTCCATACACACCTACCCCCTGAGCTGTCTCCCTTCTTTCTGCCCTTCTTTCTCCCATAATTGTTCTCTCCAAGGAGTGTATCTACCTGAGGTAACTGTTCAACTAATATGCCTGTCTTTTGTTTGGCTGGAAACCACGGGTGTGGGTTCAATTCCAGACCTGAAGGACAGATAGGGGCCATAGTTTCAGCAATTCCACCAGGCTCCATCAGACCAGCAAATCTGGTCGCCCCCTTTTTTTTCTCCAAATGATTTTGAGTTTTGTTCCACATTGTTCTCCCTACTCTATCAAGGATCTCCTACATAGATCCCCTTCCAAGTGGATGACAGTGGTACCAGACACCATCTAGTTCTTCTGGTCTCATAGTCATATAGGCTGCAGATCGGATGGTGTACCAGTCACTAGGACTAATTCTTTCCACGAATTTTGGTTTTCTTCATTCTTCTTTGCTCTGGATGAGGAGAGACCCATCGTTGCATCTAGATGGCAGCTTGCTAGCTTTTAAGATCCCAGTCGCTACTCGCCAAAGTAGGAGGTAGAACAATGTTTTGTATAGTATGTTATGCCAATTGAGCTTGATGTCCCCTGCAACTATGGTCCCAAGCCTGCAGGTTCAACTACTTGGTCACTCTGAGTAGCTGGCTGTAACCAAGCAGTGACCACAACTTTGCCTCTTTTCAGCTCTACTATACACCTGGGCATTCTGATCATTCACATAAACTTATAGGACCACTGTCTGCCAACCCTATACATGTTCTTGTATACACTCTCCATTTCATAGACATACCTAATCGTTCAACCTGTCCACCCATCTATCCACCCATATACCCATGTTTGCCTTTACTGACAATGCAGTACTGTACAACACATCATTTTTACACATCAAAAGCCCAATCTGGATTTCTGTTTAGGTTGGACAGTTAATAAAAATAAAATAAGCTTTAGTACATGATCACAGGAAAAAAAAAAAAACACAGTGAACTTCCCTGTCACTTGAAATCAAGGTTTCATTTCTAAAATATACACGTTGTTGTTGTTATGTGCCATCAAGTAGGACCCTACTCATAGCGACTCCTCCTTGGGTTTCTGAGGCAGTATCACTATGGAAGTAGACTGTCCAACCTTCCTTCCAAGGAGTGGCTGGTGGGTTTGAACCGCCAGCTTTCTGGTTAGCAGTCAAATGCCTTAGGCACTATGCTACCAGAGCTCCTAAAATATACATAGTCAACAACAAAAAGTTCTGATAAGGTGAAGGCCTGCGATAACCCAATTTTTTTTTTTTTTTTTTCAAAATAATTCTCAAGTGCTTCATTCAGGGTGGACATATGCACCAATAAATCAGAGAAGGCCTAGCCTCATGGGCAAGGGGTTGCTTGCTGGAGTGCCAAGAGCCATGATGAGCTAACAACTTTTAGTGAGAAAATATACCAGATGGTGGGCAAATGATTAAGGCACTCAGCTGCTAAAGGAAAGGTTGGAGGTGGGAGTCCACACAGAGGCACCTCAAAAGAAATACCTGGTGGTCTACTTCTAAAAAATAAGCCACTGAAAATCCTATGGAGCATAGTTCCACTCTGATACGCATGGGGTCACCATGAGTTGGAGGCCACTCTACAGCAACTGGTTTTGCCTTTTGGTCACTGCCGCAGTAGAAGGCATGCAGCAGTGCTGAGCCTGACTCAGGATTGTTAGGATCTCTGATGCTTTTTAACATTTTGTACTCTCTTCTCTGAGGTCACCTTCATTCTTGCCTACAATTCTATCATGTCTGGGATCCCGTGATTACACATGAGCAGCTCAGCAAAGTTTACCCTTTTCCTTCTGAATGTTTGTAAGAACAAGGGATGCAGCATCCCAGATAACTGGGATGCTGTCTAATATAGCCTTAAAACATGCTAAAACAATTTATAACTTTCCTAGTTCTGTAAGTAAATAATGTTGTAAACCAAAGGAGCTCTGGTGGCGTGGTGGTTAAGGCATTCGGCTGCTAATCAAAAGGTTGGCAGTTTGAACCTACCAGCTGTTAGCTATTCCATGGGAGAAAGATGAAGCAGTCTGCTTCCATAAATATTTACAGCCTTGGAAACCAAATGAGACAGTTCTACTCTGTCCTATAAGATCACTATGAGTTGGAATCAATTTAATAGCAGTGAAAGTGAAAAAGTTATAAACCAAAATCCTTAAAAGTAAAACAAAACAGGAGCTTTCTATTTTGTTGTTAGAGATGTCCATTTGGGAGCTCAGCATAATTTTCTTTAATGTGGAGAATTATTCTGGAGGAGTTCCTACATCACCTTAGCTGAAACAAATCCCTGACCAAAGAGAAATTATACAGTAAAGTTTTATTGGAAATTTTCTTTTTATAATCATAAAATTATGTTGCTGATAGTTCTCAAAGAGAACGTAGTATTTTAAACTGAAGATTTTTCTGCATTGGGTCAGGCCACCAACTGGCCTTTGCCTAGTCATGTATAAAAATGTATTGCCTTATTATCCTTTTCAGTCAAAGATGCTGTGACAGCATTAACAAATGTGGTTAAGAGTGTGGCTACAAAAACTCAAAGCATAACCTCTGCACACTTTTGTTCCACTTGCAGTGGGTAGTCAGTCATTTATTAGGGGGCCTGTTTTCACTTGCTAGGCTTTTAAAATAAATTTCTTTAATGGTTATGTTGTTGTTGCTGTTATGTGCCGTCAAGTCAAACCCGACTCATAGCGACCCCTCCCAAGTTTCCGAGGCAGTATCACTACAGAAGTAGGATTGCCCAACCTTTCTTCCGAGGAGTGGCTGGTGGATTTGAACCACCAGCAGTCTGGTTAGCAGGCAAGTGCCTTAGCCACTATGCTACCAGAGCTCCTTTAATGGTTATAGAACTACTCAATTTTTCTACTTCTTGGATCTGTTTGTTTTTTTTTTTTTTTCCTAGGAATTTCTGTATTTTTTTTCTAGGAATTTCTGTATTTGTTTCCAAATTTACTGACACAAAGTTGTTAACAATATTCTGTTATTGTTTTAGTATCTGCTGCATCTGTAGTGATGTACCCCTTTTCATCCCTGACATCAATTATTTGTGCCTCTTTCTTTTTTCCCTGGTCAACTACACCAGAAGTTTATCAATTTTATTTGACTTAAAAAAAAAAACCTGTTAATTCTCTAATGAAGGATTATTTTTATTTTGTTAATTTTTGCTTTTATTCTTGTTTTTCCTTCTATATCTTCAGGTTTATTGTGCTAATTTAAAAAACTCCTTGAGATGAATCTTTAGCTTATTATTTTTCTGGCTTTCTCTGTTTTCATAATATACATACTTAAGGCAATACATTTTTAAATCTATTTTGATTACATTCACATGTTTTGATATATAGTATTTTAATTTTTGTTTGGTGAGAAATGGTTTATAATTTCCACGATACCTTCTTAGACTCATGGCTTATTTAGAAGAGTATGTCTTAATTTTCAAGCACTTGGTTATTTCTGAATTATCTATTATTGATTTCTACTCTAATTTTTGGGAGTTCTGGTGGTGTAGTACCTAAGGTACTTGACTGCTAACCAGGCTGGTGGTTCAAACCCACCAGCCATTCCTTGGAAGGAAGACTGGGCAATCTATTTCCATAGTGATACTACCTCAGAAACCCTAGGAGGGGTCACTATTAGTTGGGTCTGACTCAATGGCAGTGATTCTAATTGTGTTGTGGTCAGAGAATATCGCTGATGGTAGATTTCTTATTTATCTTAATTTGTCAATTTCTATTTAATCACTGTTCACTTTATGCAAGTACCTAAAAATAAAAAATTCTTACCCTTGCTAGGAAATTGAAACTTTTGTGAAATGTCTCTATTTGTAGTAATGCTTTTTGTCTTAAATTCTACTTTGATGATATGAATACAGCTATGCAAGCTTCCATTTCTCAGTGTTGGCATGATACTATGTTTTTCTATCCTTTAGCTTTCAACTTTTCTTAATTCTTACATCTTATATTTAAGATGTATACTTCTAATAGCATATAAAGTTTTAGAAATCCAATGTGACAGTCTTTAACTTTTAACTGGAACAATGACTATGATTAGCCCATTTATATTTACTCTACTGATACACTAGTTTTTTAAAAGTCTATTATTACCTTATGTCCTTTTTTCTAAATCTATTTTCTTGTCTTCTTTTTGGATTAATAGACTTATCTTTTTTATTTTTCCCCTGAATAGTTTGCAAGCTTTACCTTCTGTTCTGTTCTTTTAGTGATGACTTTAGAAATGATAATACCCATTATATCATGAGACAATGCAAGGATCTTGTTGTTGTAGTTAGGTACTGTTGACTCAGTTCTGACTCATGGCGACCCCATGTACAACAGAACTAAATACTGCTTGCTGCTACACTATCCTCACACTGTTATGTTTCAGCCCATCATTACAGCCACTGTGTCAATCCATGTTGATGGTCTTTCCCTGGTGGCATAGTGCCTAAGGCATTTGATTGCTAACCAGCAGGCTGGCGGTTCAAATCCACCAGCCACTCCTCAGAAGGAAGACTGGGCAATCTGCTTCTGTGGTGATACTACCTTGGAATTGACGTGATAGCAGAGTTTTTATTTGTTTGTTTTTTTCCTCCTTTAACAAGAACAATCTCCTTCTTGA